ACGGCCCATGTTACCTCCATTCACGAATCGCCCTCCGATCTTCGGGCGATCGACTCGCGGTCAAGTTGGTACCTGCGGTAATACTGAATACCCCGTTTTGTATTCTATACTTTCAATGTATAAGGAAGTGACCGCCGGTTACTACTTTAAAAAAAAAAGGTTTTCACGCAAACATGCAGTTGCTGATCTTTCGAATTTAGCGTAGAGCGTAGAGAGGCGTCCGGAATTCAGCGTAATACGTAGCCGGCTCTCAAAATTTAGCGTAGAGCGTTGTCGGGACCCCCCCTTGGGGGCCCCCTTATAATCACTCTAGAATGTATAATTTCATTGCAAAAGTGCTGCTAATGCACCAGATTCTGGGATAAATTGAGTAAGATGCAATAAAGTACTAAAATGAGATGTCAGAAGACGTTTTGTGGTACACAACTGTTTGTTTCAAAGTGTCCTGCCTTCAGGGTCAGTACCCCAGTCCCAGGATAGCCCTGGCATTGGGCCAGCATGAAGTAAACTGTATTACAGATGCACCATCATTAGGGACATTACAACACTTATCTGGCTAGCTAGGATTACTGCTAATTTATTCCTAACAACTTCCATATTTAGTCCTTACAATGTACTTATCTCAAATAAGACATCTGTATTGAGTGGTGGGCTTAGCAGGTGCCACAGACTTTATGAAGTTATTTGCTGCAGTCTAGACAACTAATTGCAAATGAGGAGTTTCAATAATATTCATCAGTCATATAGTGTAAATATTTATGAGTCTGAAAGTTATTTCTATAGCATATCTGTAGAGTCAAGTCAAGAATAGTGCTACAGGTCAGTCCACTTTTCCTCTACCGTCTGAGCTGATGTATTTTTATGATGTGGGTGGGCCAAACCATTTTGGATTGTTTGTAATTTTCTTTAAAAAACAAACATAGAAAGGATACATTTACTATCCTATCTGTTGTGTAAGACTAGAACTTGATCCAATTGAACCAACAAGAAGCATGTGTACATAAAAGTGTCAATTTTCTTTGAAATCGTGACATCTGTTCTGTGCTGTTAGAAGTTGCACCTTTTCAACCCCATCTTTGTTGATGTTCCAAGCAAACCTTGACAACTTCCCTCGGCATTCCACCCATTCTGGGAATGCACCTTGCCTTCAGTGAGGCCCTGACATTCCTGCTACATGACACCCTGGCCCGGGGAAACTCAACCCCTCGGTACATGCCCAAAAATAGGCAAGAGGGATTGCTTTCTAAGCAGAGCCCATGTTGACTGGGCGGTTATTTTAGCAAACAGTTCCACAAGACAGCCATTTAAAAAAGATTTTTATGTACTAATGTTTTAAGGTTTTGTACAGTGATTGTCAGGCATATGTAGATATGGTAAATGAAAATATTACTAGAATTTCACATGGTCAATTATGACAATTTAAGATTCAAAATTCTCCCATCAAGGTTGTACACCAAGGCCTCGGGGTTACTCTTCAAGGGGCTTTCCCTTTTATCGTGACCCCGTTTTCTGTCAATAGTCTAAATTAGGAATACCTGTATTTGCGAAGCAAACAGCCTAAAAGTTGTGAAAGGTATTGACCATCGTCAGAGGTTGTGAAGTAAAAGTATACAATATAGGATATTTATTTTAATGAGATGTGTTACCATAGAAAAAGATAAGACACATGAAAACAAAAAAGTTATGTATACACACGTTTTTGCACGTACCAATATGTTCTCATACAAGGTCATTAGTGGAACACGCTTTCTGACCCAGGTCAAAGGTCAGATAGGGTGGTGATGTTGTGTGATGTACATGTCCGCGAGGGGAGTCTTGAAACTGCAAAAGAGGCAATGAAAGATGTAGTCTATTATTGGCCAGGGATGTGGAGGATTTCCCTTACTTAATCATGCAGTGCTGATAATTGAGTACAAATAGAAGGAAGTAATCAATATATCTTGTACGCTGATAATTGACTTACTTCTATTTTAGTTTTATCAATACAATATATCTAGATATCAATCTGAAGATATTTAATGGCATTCACTCCTTTATTCCACTTAACTTTGAAGCTTTACAAAAATGATCACAAGGCATTTGACATCTCTATTACAGACAGTGTACTAAATTTGGTGTTGTGTTTTTAACACCTCCAGGTTTCCCAACTAGTGATTCTCCATGAAGAGGCTGAAGATGGCAATGCCATGCCGGACCTGGCACGACCTGTCCAGGCTGTGTGTGCCGCTGTACAGAACCTGGTCAAGGTGAGACAATTGATTATAAATCTGTCAACTGCCATCAATACAGCTTGATGTACAAGTATAGAGTAAGTTTACTAGATCCACCGTCATTGTGCATGACTACATGAGACTGGAGAAACTGATGAAAAGAAAAAGGCGCTTTTATCAACGAGTAACATTTCTTTATGATCAGTTTTATTGCCAGTTGATTATTTGCTGTATACTGTGTCAGTATCTCAAAATCTCATGCTGTTTTGGATGGTGATATGATGGGTTGATCAAAAGACAGTGGTATGACATATATGTAGAACTAAAGTGAAATTAAACAATACTTGTCTTTTTCCCGAAGGTTGCCAAGGAGACAGCAGAGACCAGCCAAGACGTGATCCTGAAGCAGGAGATGCCCATCGCCTACACCAGGGTGGAGGAGGCCTCACACCTGCTGGTGGACGCCTCCGACATGCTGCGGGCCGATCCTTACTCCAGACCAGCCAGGGAGAAGCTCATAGATGGTGCTCGAGGTAAAAAATGTTATCTTTTCTTCATCCATTTATAATATGACACTGGGAAGCTAAAACCCTCATGGTAGACCAAAGAAGAGATGGATTGACAATGTAAGGGAGGACTTCCACCACTTGAACCTGTATAACGTCAACCCACAGGATAGAGGCAAATGGCGGGCTGCCATCAAGCCTCAGCATTGTTGTGCAAGCACGTCTAACCCTTGGAAGGCGGGAATAACAGACACTAAACAGGAGAACGAGTATAGTAGCTACACATTTTAAAACCATGCAGTGTGGAGCCGTTTTTTTTATGGACAAGTTAGATTTTGCTCTGCTCAAGTGTCTTTTAAGAACCTGGACCAACTGGGCTGACAGGAGCACATCCTTTGTGTTTGCAGGAATTCTGTCTGGGACATCCCAGTTGTTGCTGACATTTGACGAGGCTGAGGTGCGTAAGATCATCAGGGTGTGTAAGAGTGTGCTGGAGTACCTGGCCATCGCTGAGGTGGTGGAGACCATGGAAGACCTGGTCACTTTTGTCAAGGTATGATAAGAGATTTACATCTACATGAGTCAAGTCAGCTGTCAGTTTGTTTGTTTGTTTGTCATACAGTAACGATGTCTAACTTGCAAAATAATACGAATAATTGTAAAGGGATGTAACAGATGTAGTAATGGTCCTTTCAGTTCAATAAGTGCCCAATGTGCTCTATAGCATTTTGTAATTTACATGGCTGTATGGCAGGTAGTCTTTATTTTTATTTCGCCCGCCCGCTCCATTATTTTTCTAGAAAAATCGTTAACCAAGAAATTAAATTGGTGTGGCCTTAGTGAACATTATTTAAAATGCTTTTTCAGAACCTGACCCCTGGTATGACAGGGATGTCCAAGATGGTGGACGCCCGTTCTAAGGAGCTGACCCACCAGCAGCACAGGGAGAGCCTGGCCCACTCCCTCCAGGTGGTGAAGGACCTCACACCTGTCCTCATATCCGGCATCAAGATCTTTGTCACCACAAGGAGACCTCAAGGTCAGATGAGAAACATCTAATGTTTGCTGTATCACAGTTGGTATTACTCATGGGACATTTTGCAAACATTGTTCATCTTACCAGATAAGTTTCACTCTGTCTTGAACAGTATACTGTAAATCACTGTATATTCGTGGTAGGAAAATTTTGCAGTCGCTTCATATTGTTGCTTCATTTTTTTCCTGAAAAAATCTGAGAAACAACACATTAAATTGGTGTGGCCTAATGATAAATTTGCAGTATACATGTAGAAGTGCCTGCGAAAACCACGAATATAAAAGTACCGCGTGTATTAAGTGACTTACAGTTTCTTACTTTGCTGTATGATGTTGACTACAGATGGTAAGGGTATCCCAGAGGCCATAGAGAACCGTAACTACGTGGTGAACAAGATGTCGGCAGAGATCAGCGAGATCATCCGCGTCCTGCAGCTGACGACGTACGACGAGGACAGCTACGATGCCGATGACATGACCGTGATGAAGAAGGCCCTGGCCAGCTTCATGGCTCGGCTGAACCAGGCCAGGGAGTGGCTACAGAACCCCAACTCAGAAGCCGGGTCTCTGGGTAGGTCAAGTGTATTTCCTGGAACTTCAAGAACATTTCCAGGGCTCGAAATACTTTGTTCTGCATACCTGCACTGGTACAGGTAACATTGAAAATCACATGCATCAAACAAATTTGGATCATACTAAAAACTGTTCAGAAACCATTACCATTATTTTTTTATATTACTTAATAGTCAACCTACACCTACGTTTGTATGTAAATCCTGCACATGGATTAGTGCAGGTTAGGTGCAGGTAGACATCAGAAATACCTGCACAGCTCCAATTTTACTTGCACTAAGGTACATATTCACTCAGTATTTCGAGCCCTGATTTCACTTGCTGATACCTTTTCTCTTCTATTTTCACCGACTACTGATTATAAACGAACATCTATTTCTCTTCTGGTTTATTCAGGTGAGAGATCACTGAGACAAATCATTGAAGATGCGCGGAGGATCGGTGAGCGATGTGTGGGTCCAGAGAGAGATGAGATCCTCAGGCTGTGTAGTGAGCTGACAGCCATGGTGGACCAGCTGTCAGACTTCAAGGCCAGGGGACTGGTGAGGCAAATCAGCCTTTTGCTCCATGGAAGAATGTCTAAATCATTGACTCAATGTCATCATGTCATTTTTAGTCTTCCATCAGCTGTAAAACTACTAGTAATATTTCTTCTAGTACTGTTTTGCAGATTTTAATACTTGTTTTGCAGATTGTGAGACTTCTGAAAGATATAGTACCTGTTGATGAAAAGCAGATAACATTTGTCCCAAGTACCTAAATCTATGGAGCTTGCAGACATATTTTAACTTTGAATCTGATACAGATTTCTCGGTAATACTAATGAAAACAAACTACTTTACTACAGGGAAGCTCTCCCGAGGCTATCAACCTTTCGAGGCAGATCATTGACCGGCTGTTGGACATGGACAAACGTGTGCAGCAGGCTGTGTCCAACTTCCAGCAGAGCGGCATCAGGAAGCCGGCCCCCACCATCGCTGGCAAGATGGAACAGGCCATGAGGTGGCTGAGTGCACCGGCCATGGATGACAAGGGACTAGGTAATGAGTTTTCCATAGCTTGTGTATATTGTAACTCAATGGAAGAAATACATGTAAAATGTCCAAAGCCTTAACTCCCAATATAGCCCTCCCCCCTCCCGAAACATCTGTATCTGTATTGATATAGCTGGTTTAACCGCTCTTAAGTGACAAACCTTAGGCCGTGATAATAACCTAAAGTTGACCTGTTGAAAAGCTATTAAGGGGTTTGACTTATCTACAGTTTCTCCCCGTTTATGTCATTGGACATCTTTACAGTCCCTATTGTACCCAAATCATGTTAGTGGTTCACATGAGCCTTGTTTTGAGCTAAAAGTTGTAGTGATTAAAAATAAACCATTTAGAAGTACAATGCTAAAGTTAAAAGTTTACTCTACTGCTCTGGTGATTCAGGAGAAAGCTGCAGTCGTAGTAAGTAATGTCTGTGCTAACCTGTATTTGAACAGGACAACAGGCGGTGCATGAGCTGGTGAGGGAGGGGAGGAAGCTGGCTCAGACGTGCCAGGAGCCGGACAGGTCAGACCTGCTGAGGAAATGTGACTCTGTGGAGAGGCTAACCAGGCAGCTGGCTGACCTCGTCAACCAGGGCAAGGTGAAAATTTTGTTTATTTGTTTATTTGACAGATCTCCATCAGTGAGTACAATGTATAGTACAATCACTGTAAAAAACCTAACCTACACATCTTACATGTGTAACATACCCTTACTAAATCTTTGTAAAAGAAGGGGACCCATTCTCTGTTACAATATCAGTATCACAAATATTATTAATAGTTTAGACTTTAAAAAAATGGGTTTGGAATATCATGGTAGGATCTATGAATTGAGAACAAAACGGTACTAGCACCAAAGCAGTAGTGAAGGGTTATCTGTTAGACATTTATCTAAAGAACTTAAGGAATATCAGCATCTGTGTGAAAGCATTGTCTAACCCTTGGAAGATGGGGAACAACAGATGCTGAACTGTATAGTGAGTGAGTGATTCCTCAAAAAGAACATTACCTGTTCCTAGAGTCTGAAATATGCAATATTTTTGCTTTCCAATAATATTTGCCTGGATTATGATTTAATGTGTTTTTTTTTTGTACAGGGAGACAGTCCGGAGGCCCAGGAGCTGGCACGTACCGTGCAGGAGAAGTTGAACGACCTGAGGAAGAAGATGGATGATACTCTAGTGAAGCAGATTGCAGACGTGTTCCTGGACACCACATCCGCACTCAAGCAGCTCAGCAACGCTGCCCATGCCCCTGCAGGTCAGTGGTTACACATGAACTTGTACCAACTTCCTTTGGTTGTACTGTAAATCACTTCATATTCGTGGTAGCAACATTTCACAGTTTGAGAAAAATGGATATGTTTGCAAATTATTTGTGACCGTTAAAACCGCAAATATAAAGTGACTTACAGTATTTATTGTTGGTAACATTATGTTCACTAAGTATGAAAAATTGGTCTTCTGGTATAGTGTTTACTCCTGTAAAACACCAACTATTAACTATGGAATTTATGATTGCCAGGAAATGTGTGAATGTTACAGCAAGAAGTGTCAAAAGGAGCAAACGTTTTTTTTTAACAACTATGTTGTTTTTTAAATAGATGCCCCTAACCGAGAGCCAGATTTTGGCAACAAGGCAGGAAACTTTGATCAACACTCGGCCCTGCTGACTCAGACTGCAGGCCGTGTGGCTGATGCTGGCAGCTGTCAGAACAAGAAGACAGTGGAGGGCATCAAGAGCACTGCTGGTGTGGTCAGTATCATTTCTAAAGAACTTTCTGCCATTACAGTTCACGCAATTAGAGGAAAGATGTTCAATTCTGACTTTATAGGTCTTCTGGCTAATGAGGGAAAATGTATGTAGTCTTGTCACAGGCATCATTCAACAGTTATATAGGTACACACAATCTGATTTCAAATTGTTTATTTTACTCTCCAGATCCGAGACCTGACCCCACAAATTATCCATGCTGGAAAAATCCTGCTGGACAACCCAGACAATCAGGTAGGGGGAGCTGCTTAGTGAACTCCACTTGCACCTGGAGCCACTATATTTTGTTTGCTAGCCACAAGCATTTCTCACAACTTTGTCTCTGCTTTTAATTATTTCTGAGTAATCTGCCATAGACATTCAACCCTCAGTAAGACATCACACCATCTTCTATTTAAAAATCTTTCAATAATTTTTCATAAAATCTTTTGCACTGTGCATCTCATAAGCTAAAACAATCCACAGTTCTTATATTTTGTGAAATTACCAACCACCTAGCTGTGTGGCATGAAAACACTGGGTAGTGTGCAGATTCTGATGTTATTATTTCAAACTATTGGCAATTGCTCACCATATTGGCTTCAGTTTCACTGCCACTTTGAGCTTTTGAAAAGAACCATGCACAACTTTCAAAAGGTGCTGAACTCCATCAGTCATGTTCTACCACACTTATTTTATTATCCCACTTCTACCATTCCTATTTCTTTATGCAAAGTTACTGTCACATTTCATGTATTTTGTTGCTTTGTAGAAAACTAAACTGAGCCACAATAAAAGCCATATATGTTGTTTGCTCACTCACGTTGCCGCTACCTAACACACATGCACACAGCTAGCCTCAAGTCTCATGGTATCACTTCTCTATTACATGTCTCTCTCCCTTCCTTGTTCTCCTCTTCCTCCTAGTCTAGCGGGTTCAACCTCCACCGAGTAAGAGTCTTCTGAAATTCCTCTTCCTGTTTGTCTCCTACTTTCCTCTTTTTGTTCTTGCCTTACTCTATCTGCAGTGGCTTTGTTTGTGCATAGTTTTGGTGGATGGAGTTTAATTAATCTGTGCTTTTTACAGTCACATGTGTAGATATCCAACAGTATCTACATTGTTATGCTTTTGACAAAAGCATGTTTTGTTTAAGGAAATAGTGTTTTGTGTTATGGCAAGTTTTAAGTGAGATATTAGCATGATTTTCCCTCACTTTTCAAAAGAGAACCAAACAAAATGCTGTAGTCCTTCTCATAATCTACTGTACCCAATAACGCAAAAGTAGGTAAAAGTTTCCTTTTACATGGTTTAAGTATGGTATGTTTGATGTTGCTGAAGTTTTCTTTATCCAAGAGAACAGGGGCAATTTTTAGATACCTAACCATAGTAACCCATTCTGTGTTCTTCAGGCAAGCTCAGATCTTTAAACCAATGCTATATTAAGATCCTGTCTTCAACTCTCCTTGCTCTGTCACATAAATTGCCTGTATTACTAACTGACATGCCATTTTACTGCTTCCATAACCAACTATTCTGTAATAGAATATGAATGTAGAGTTGCAGTGTCTGTTTGTGTATACAGAAATACAGATATGTACCCCAGCTACATTTAAAGTTTAGGACATTAAAGCATGTTGTTACTGAATTTGCTTTTCCAGGCGGCCTCAGAGCACTTTGAACTCCTGAAGAGGGAATGGATGAACAACATGGACAAGCTGACATCTCTGGTGGATGATGCTGTGGACACTGTTGCATTTATCAAAGCTTGTGGTGAGTTTCCTTGGGGTATTACTCAATGTTGACCTGTTGGAAGTTAGTAGCATTACAAGTATGTGCAATCCATATTTTCCCAAATTGTGACATGTACAAGTATTTTTTTATTGTACAAGTAAGAAGACAGAGTATAGTGTCTCATCAGACAAATCTTACACAAAATATAGTAGTTTTAAGAGAGAGGTAACAGAATATAGAAGTTAGAGGACTTTTCTCTACATAAAAGTAAATGGTAATCTGGAAATAGAGCTCATGTACATTTAGTGGTTGATACATGACCTTAAGACATTGTAATCTTTTAATTCATATGTAAATTTTTACAATTATGCTATTTGCTTCCATATTTACAGAGGAGGCCATTGCTCGTGATAGTGAAATGGTGAAAGTTGCCATCAAGAATGTGCAAGTCCAGGTAAAATCATGCTCTAATCATGTTCTGTCTGCTATTTCAAAACTATCAAATACAAAAGGTACATGCCGTATGCCACATTTTATATTATTCACTGAGAAATGTGAAAACTTGGCAAGACTGTTTAACCCATGTATAAATTCCATATTGTTACTTGTCAAAGTAATATAAACTGTAGTTTACCAGATGAAAGTTTTACCAATGAACCTTGATGAAATGTTACAGAGTGTGGTAAACGGTGCCTCCAACATTGCCCGCCGTGCCAACCGTGTCCTGATGGTTGCCAAGCGGGAAGCTGACAACTCCGAGGACCCCAAGTTCGTGGACAGGGTGAACGATGCATCAGACACACTGGCAAGATGTAAGCAACTGTCTCTGACAATTCACAGAAGATTGTAATGAATGTAATATATAAAGCCTCATTGATTGATGTGATGACTTATTGTGTTTCAACCATTTCTGCTCATTAGCTATCAGTCCTATGGTGGTGGATGCCAAGTCTGTGGCCAGCAACCCCAAGGACGCAAACTCCCAAGGCAGATACTTCGATTCAAACACAAAGGTAGGTGCCTATTCCAGAATAATGTAATTCTTTAATTCTTGTTAGCCAATGTTTGCATAACAAAGACTTGGTCTTGACATTTATCTAGTATTATCTAGACATCTCGTTATCTAGACATCTACTAGTATTTCAATGCTGGAGTATCATAGGCCATACTTTGTGGTCAGATGCAAGGGTAGATAATAGTGAGAGTAAAAGGATGTATGTCTATGCAAAGGGGAACTGATAAGTTACATGGATACCACGGGTATACTGTCACTAATGAGAACACCTGTGAAGAATTTTGTCACTTTGCATTGCTTCCCCAACAGGAGAGTGCAGAAAGATTACCAGGGGAAATGGATACGGTAGTGTAGAAGCCATTTTGAGGTGTCTACACTAACTGGTGCTTACAGTAATGAAAATACAATGTAACATCTTATAATATACATGCCTGTACACAGCTGAGGTTGCAATAGGTGGGTAACACGGTGATAAGGTGGATGGTGCCTGGTGCTACAGCAGCTTGATGTGCACATGCAGAAAAGGTCATATTCAATCACTTTGTCAAACAACTGCAACAATCCTACCATGATCTTGTGTGAGTGATGGGTGATCTCTGACCTACCAATCATTTAGGGCAATTGTGCTGGATAATTCATTGGTGCTTGTAATCAGCTACTTGAAAAGAGGATCCATACTTCAAGCAAATGTTAATGTTGAGTTGTGTAAAACCCTACAGCTGAGAGATGCTGTTGCTGGTGTACGTGAGGCTGTCACTGTCGTGGATGAAGCTGCCCTGGCCGCAGCACAGGAGGCTGCCTTCCCACCACCACCTGACCTGAGCCAACTCAAGCTGGGAGGTAAGGGGCTCCTATTGGCACTGTAGGGTAATTGAAGGCATTTCAGCACCAAGGACAAAGGATTGGCTTATGTTACCTCATGTGCATGTATGGCAATCTGAAAGTTGTGGGGAAATAGAATGAAAAATTATAGATTAAGCAAACAGAGGTTTATTTCACATTGGAAAAGGTTTCAGCACCAAGGACAGGGATGACGAAAACATGGTCAACTGTAGATTTCTTTAGGATTTTCTATGGTATTAACAAACCAATGGCTAAGTTTTGTCACTTCAATCTAGCTGTATATTAGAATCAGCTTTTCAGTATTAAGGACAGAAGGAGCAAAGATTCTGAAAGATGGAATATTGCAGCATAATTAGGGGCAATCCTCATTACAGATGCAGCACCACCAAGACCACCACTGCCAGAACATGAAACCCCCCCTCCCCAGACCACCACCCCCAGAGGAGGAGGAGGAGGAAGTCGCTTTCCCTACTCCCAAACCCAACCAGCCTATCATGGTACGTCTTACATCTATGTTATGCTAAATTGTATACCGGTAATACTAGAGATCAAATCCTACCTACCTACCTAGGATCTGGACGTTGCGGATCAGAGATCAAATCTGGTCATAATGATTGCAATCATAATGAATATGTGAACAATTTTCCATTGTTTTGTGTGGATGCCAGTCCAGATGTATGGCTGTGACAGTTGTTGAAAATGAATGGATATGATGTGATGTAGGCATGGATGATGGTTGTCAATAGTGTTTGTGCTATGAGGGATGCCAGTACTGTTAGATATAATTATAGGTGGTGTGTGTCGGTGTGTTTAGTACCATTGATTAATGTCAGTTTATTTTATTTTGATAGATTGATGACTGATGCATATAAAGCCTTTGTCGATACTACAATATCATACATTATGTGCCTGCCAGTCTAGGTGCAGTCTGGCTGACTTCATGTTTGCTGCAATATACTAGTAGTAACTTTGTGTTATTCATGACTATTGAACCAAAGCTAGCCCACACAACCAGGATGAGATCCAGACTAAATGGATACTGTCTCACAGATATTGTTTTGCAGGAAATAAAGCAGTACATATTGAAACTTCACAATGAATTAATGAATACTAGCAGGCTTTTCTGTGTTTTCATTCAACATAACAATGGAAACAGTATACATGATCTCTTGCATGGAGATATGCCATTGACAGAAGTCTTGCAATCTGTGAATGGATGAGAAATGTGTAAATGAGGATATAATCATTCTCTGCTGCTATCCTGCTAATATTTTGAAGTTTGGTATTTTCTGTTCTTTCCTGCTATTGTTTCCCTTGCACCCTCACATTTTCTTGCCCCTGCAATTCTGTTTGTCAAATTGGTTTTATGATAGTCTTGTTGCTTCTTACTTATGACCTTTCAACTCTGACCCTTCCCAAGACGGATTCAGAAGATGAAGAGATGGCTTTCCCCGTAGATCCCAATGCCAACGAACAAATCATGGTACAGTAGTCTGTCTGTCCCGTCTGTCCCTCACAGATTCAAACTAACACCAGTCACAGACATTTTTCCTTCTCCCCGTGTGCTGTTGATTAAACCAAGACCAGTAGTGCTGTTTGGTGTGCTGCCTGCTTGTTTCCAGAATTGCTCTTTGCATAGATGTGTGTAAATGTGCTACATGTAACACAGCAGAGAAAAATAATCCCTTTTTGTAGGTGATAAGAGATGTTGATTAGATCCATACCCTGCTACACATGTTCATTGTGTCATACATTTGTACTCAACATATAACACTTCATCAGCTTGACTGAAGTGTATAACATATTCTGTCAACTTTCATGTATATCTGTACACCTGTCTGTCTGGTGACTGCATGGGCATTATGTATGGTTCCTTTTACTACCTCTTCACTCTCATTTTACTTTGATAAACTCACCTTCTGTCACCTCTTTTGCATGTTCTAATCCAAATTGCCTTGATTCTCTCTTCTGAATGCTCCTCCTTTGGTAGTACAATTGCCAAATTAGGGTAGGTACATGTATAATACCTCCTGTAGTTCCTTATTCACTCCTATCTATTTGCTACACTATGCTGTTACCTGAATTGGCTTCTAACTAGACTAGCTTTGTTGTTTTTCTACTATTAAACTGTCTCAGTTCACTCACGTATGGATTAGATGTGTTCCTTTCACTTTGCATGAGTGCTTTATTTGGATGCATGTTGATTATGGCCACAAAGTTCCAGGTACATTGGAGATCAGGACCACTTGCACAGGAATGGATGCATAGCAATGCCACAGCAAGTGCACTTCTGCACATGGTCACAAGAGGGAGCTTCTGCTAAACTAGTGCCCAACTGATATCTTTCCTAGGTTGCAGCCCATCAGCTTCACTTGGAAGCCCAGAAGTGGTCCAGTAAGGGCAACGAGATTGTTGCAGCAGCCAAGAAGATGGCGCTTCTTATGGCTGAGATGAGTCGCTTGGTCAGGTACTTACAAGTCATGCAGTAGTCATTTTTCTCAAACTCATACATTGTAGATCTGTTCTATATATAGAATAATATAGATTTTTGTGATGCCATTTTATGTGAAGTCTTTTTATTCATGAAAAAATACATCAAAGCCATTGGAACCCATATTATTGATCTATTTTTTTTTCTTCTTCTCTTTGCTGACATTGCTAACAAGCAAGAAGGAAAAGGCAGGAAGTCTTAATGCATTCAGCAGTGTCAATATTTGTGGCTTTTCTTGTAAAATGAATTCCATGTCGAAAAATGTTGTACCCTCTGTGCTGCCTCAGAGGTGAAGGTGGTAACAAGAGAGACCTTATCCGAGTTGCGAAGGAGATTGCTTTGGTTGCTGACGAGGTCACACGATTGGCCAAGGAAGTTGCCAAACAGTGCACAGACAAGAGGATACGAACGGTAACTTTATGGATGTCTGAATTGTGGATAACTTATGGTCTCTGCATGATTTAAAGACCTAATGCTATGCTGGATGATGCTTTAGTTAATACCTATAACTACTGTTTTCTGCATACTAGTACTTGTGGTGTGAAAAGCCATTAGAAAAGTGGAGTATGTTCTAAGTGCTGTTACATGTAGGTGTTCTGAGTAACTTACATGTAATTTGTCCTTTTTGCTTACTACAGTATATTCCCATGGTAACATGCATAATGTTTCCCCTCCCTCTCTACAGAACCTACTGCAGGTTTGTGAGCGTATCCCCACCATCAGCACACAGCTGAAGATCCTGTCCACAGTCAAGGCCACTATGATTGGACAGTCAAGTAAGTAATCACTCCATCATGTCAAACTGTGGCTTTGTATGTACAGTTGCTACCAGATGGGCTGTTGCTTCTGTGCAAGACTATAGCTTAACCTGTGCTTAAGCACTTAGCTCTATCTTTGCTTCTATCTTTATTTAGCTATAAGCCAATTCTTAAGCTTGTTCATATATTAGATAAAAAAAACAGTCACTAGACAAGCAGAAACATGAGTATTTCATGCACTAACTATGCGTCCTTATCATAGACTAGATAGCAGTCCTCACAAAAATAATATAATTCAACATGTCTGTTCAACTGACTGACACCCTTCGTAAGATACACATCCTTACACAATGCACTCTATTCATGCTTTGAAATTAATAGCTCCTCTTGTTCCTAGCTAGTTATTGCACTTCCCCCCTGGTATTGTATCAAGTAACCTTACACTCACAACCTGTTCTTATGCAACTGACAAAACTTGCTCTCTTCTTTTCCTGGATTAAAAACCCGCTCCTTTGTGGTAAGCCTAATGTCGTCTTCTGTATGTGGTTCCATCAGTCTCTTGTGTCACTGTAACCATCTCATCTCATCTCTTCTTCATTTCTCTCCTGTGTTAGTGTACATGTCGTAATACATGTTTCTGTTTCCTTTCCGTCCTGTTGATGAAAATTTTTTCCTCTTGTCTCCTGTGTGTCCTTTCCATCACTGACAGCTCCAGATTCCAATACAGGTTGACCCCTTCCACATTGTTTTGCTGGCTTTAGCACACATCTAGAGCCATTGTTGTTGTGTATTGCTGTACATGTGTGTCTCATCTCAAACCTGCTTCTGCTCATCATTTGTCATACCTGATGTGCTGTATCAGTAGTGTAAAGTTTACAGAATATTTTAATATTAGCTTCTACGAATGTAGAATGCAAGAAATGTACTAGTACATGTCAATAGTTTTGGTTGTATTGGTTTTTATTGATTTTTGAAAACATTTTATACTTATAAGGAGAAATCCTGCTGCATTGGTGCACCGGTTAGCACCTTGTCTTTTACTGATTTAAAGTCAAGGTGTAAATCTACTTGTATCCTGATAAGATATTTTTTAACTTCTTCCAGATGTAGACAGTGAAGAAGTGGACCAGGCGACAGAGATGTTGGTCCACAACGCCCAGAACCTCATGCAGTCCGTGAAGGAGACCGTACGCGAGGCTGAGGCAGCCTCCATCAAGATCCGCACAGACGCCGGCATCACACTTCGCTGGGTCCGGAAGAAGCCATGGTACCAGTGAAGTCCTTCTGACTGACCTGATGTGTACTTGTAAAACAGGAGTCCAGGGGGGGGGGTGCACCAGCAAAGTACTTACTGTTACCATATTGTGATTAAGTGTCTTCCAATTATCCAAATTTTTCAATCAAAAGGAGCTTATTGTTTATGAAAATAAAGAGAAAGAATGTTGGGTATGGTGCCCCCTCCCCCTCCCCTAGGATTCCTGTTAGCTAACCAATGACATGGTGCTCAGGCATGCATAACGCATGCACACTGCAACTTGGACTGTGATTGCAACTCATGAGCTGAAATTTGCTGTGTTGAGACTACTGATCTGACCAAAGTGTTGCATCAGATCTCAAGCATTTTGCCATTCAGCTCAAAGAATGCACTGCATCAAACTAATATCTATTCCAAAGGTATAGGCATGTTTTTATCTCAACTTTACCAATCATTTGTCACTCTTAACTCTGAAATGATTCATGACAAGTAACTACATAAATTTTGTATTGTTATGTGCTTAGAATTGCAAACAGTAGTGGTAGCATTGGAAGAAGTCAATATTTTTGACAACATTTGCCAAAAGATATAAGATATACTGTTAAATGCTAGTACATGTATCTACATTTAGATGCATCTACATTGTATGTACAGATATAGACCTAGAAATAGCTAGCTTCAATAAACAGAAATATATGTATGACTCTGTAACATGCAAAGGCAGTGTTTTATATTACTATTATACTATTACTATCCTATAGGCAGTATTCAAAGAACTCAAATATTTTTATAGAACTAGAACACTGCCTAGTATATTGGTAGATTGTACATGTATATTAGTCAAAGATTGCCTGTCAATGAGGGATAGCAAAAATCTGGCAAGGACTTAAAGCACATGCACATGCTTAAGTAGTAAAACAGAATGATAAAAGATATATGCATACTAAAACTAAATGCATTCAATCCCCCTTTTGGAAGATCGGAAATTAACTTTCAACAGGGTCTGTGAGGAAAAAAGTTAATTATGCAGATGAAGTCTGTAGTAAGTAAGTTTACAAGGCAGCAAAGTGATTGCATTGTAGTATGCATTTTCTCCAAATTACTAAAGATATAATTGTTTCTAGTGATTTCATTGCTTGTCGAATTTTGACTGAGAATTTTGGAACAGAAGTAGGTAGCCTTCATATCTCTTTGGTTTGCATAATTATCCACATTGAGCAAGACTTAGTTGCAAAATTTTGTGTAGTATTTAGCTCATAAATATACCACTGTATGTAATGTTAGTTTTGTAATGTCAGTTTTTTGGTTTATACAACAGGAATTGTGCCTTATGCAATGATGTGTTTAAGACAGAAATGAATGCTGCACTTGGTTAGACTGACAAATAAAAGAGAGAGCTTGCTTTAGCATGTCACTGTGTGTGGATGACTTGGATGAAGCATGGTGATACCTGTCATACATACCAAGATTGTTCTCAGCTACATGTAGTATGAACAGTAACCAGCAGTATACTTGTACCTATTTTTTTTAGTTTTTGCCTCATAATCTAGTAACTTGTGACTTGCTTCCCCCTCTCCCTGTATATGTAAGTCTAGCATGGGAAACTGGCTGCATTTTGAAGCTACATGGCTACATATGGAAGTTAACAACATTATCAAACACACACACACACACACACACACACACACACACACACACAACAAAATATGATTGCTTTATGACAACTACTTAACAAAAAATGTACATTCTACACGACCAAGTAACCACATTCTGTTTTTGAAAGCTTTCTTCATATGAAGTCTTATGTTTCATGCATATGAAATTGGGTCAGATTCTTACATTTGTCCTATCATTTCCAGATTCTTCATGAGATTTAATTTTTCTGCTTTCTTCTGTGTTTATCCCCACCTGTCTTCCCTCCCACCATCTTGTTTTCCCCTTTCTTCTCAACCAATAATGTGGTGGTGACATCATAGGGAGGAGGAGCAAGCTGAACAAGAATCCAAGATTTTCGACAGCATTGAGAAGCAGATGAAAACTGGACAAGGGTACAAATACAAGGGGATGCCTGGGGTCATATAGATACTTTTTTAAGAGTCAAGAAAGAAAGAAGGAATGAAGTGGATATAGGGGTTAAAGGGTAACAGGCCTCTGTAAAAGGCCAAATGATGAATCTGTTGAGTGTTATCATATGTGCACTTTAGTGGGGGGTGTAAAATGTAGAATGTCATTGTTTATTACAGCAGGCAGTGTGTTATTGGGACAAGAAAGACATTGTACTGCCATCTAAAGTTGTGACGTCCAGTTTTTCAGTGTCATCTGGGGATTGCAAAATGCTTGACCCTTTTTACTTAGAAAAACTCAGGGCCTACACACTTCATGTTTATTCAACACTTACTGTTACAGCTGTCTTTGGAAATCTTTTGTTCCTTCTCTTCCTTAACTCGCTGGTCAGTGTTTTGTTTCACCCTCTTTCTAAACTTAAATAGGATACATATAACATCATGATACTCCACATTTTAATAATAGTGAAGTTTTTTACGTCGGTGTGAATGTTTAGGCCTGAAAGCCCAGTGTTAGGTCACCATCAATGTCAGCCTGAGTGCCAAATGGCCTGTAGAAATTGTGGCCAGGATAGCAGATCAGGCTCCAGTCATTTTGTTTTTAACAATATCTAAGTTAAGTCTTGTTTAAAGGAAACATGACCACATGGACCTCTAAGACGTTATAAGTGCTATGACACTTCGTATCTTGTCAGCTTGCTGTCTTATGTGTTGTAGCATTTAACTCTTGAAGGGCTGTAATTTAGACATGACATCATGTAGACTTAGATGTGAACGCCAACAAAACCTGATACTACTGTTTGTTAGTCAGACCCTCTGTACATCCAAGGATATTTGAACTTTGCCATCATCACATGTATTCATCCTTTTAGTGATGTTTTGTTCTTTGCTCTTTTGTGTATCATCTTTATTTGATACTATGTATTTGGTGCTATCCTCCTAGCTTTTGGTGAACATAAACTTGCATATATTATAACATATTGTAATTTTGCTTGTCATAAGCACCAATGTCTGAAGCCCTGTAGACTTAGATTTCTAGCTATTGAAAATATATAAATGAACTGTTGTTCTCAACGTAAAGTGCATCTAAGTATAAGAATAACCTTTGTGACTTTTGCTTTATAAGGAAAATCTAGTTGCCAGGCAAAAAAAAGCAAGATGTATGGAACATATGTAGTATATTTTGTTACTCATTAATTGCTACAGGTTTTCAAATTGACAGTGCCAGCAACAATTGGCTCAACTCAACTTCTTATGTAGTACATACATGTAACTGTTATGTCACAGTGTAGAGACAATCACTTGTGATTCTGGTAAATACAAAAAATATATGAGGTATCAGATATGATAATGCCATCATCAAATAGTAACTTCCATTGTAAGATGAGTACAGATTACCATTTCCCATTTAACTTATCTCTTTGTTCAAGAAAGAGACAAAGAAAGAATTATACACAAGTGTAAGTGCTGCTATGCTGACTAGTTGGCAGGAGGACTGTTTTCATGTTGTAAAATGCAGGTAGTATTTCGCAGCATACACATTTTTGAATAAAGAAATGATTTTCTATCCTTGTTTTCACCTTATGTTTTGCTACCTGCATATCAAATTAGCTTGATTGAGAAATACTGGTATGAGCATCAGCTGAGATCACCTTCGCTAACATCTGCTCTAAAGCAAAGTCAAGAACATCTTTGTAACATGAATAGACTAAGTCTATGGAAAATCACATCTATTAGACTAGTAAACTGGCAAGGCATTGGCAACATGGAACGTTTCAATTCAACTTTTTTTCTGATCTAGTATTTCCATTTGTATCCTGCTTCCATGAGTTTTTCATATGCTTCCCACACTTCAGGAGGTATTTCTTGGTATATTTGGAAACCCTTTTCCGGGTAGGTATGGACCCTGTACAGATCACTCAACATGATCTCAACAGTGTTCTTCATCGGCCCCACTTCTTCATTTGCATAGTCATGGAAACTGATTCTTGGCGAGGTAACACACAAGGATGTTTCTTCTATGTTTCCTGGCCACTGCTTCATGAATGTTGCATAAGCCCTGCGCTCCATGTAAGGTTTTTGAACAAGGATGATGCTACTGGTAGGGATGTTGTTGTCGTTTAGGAGTTTGTATGAAAAAATGACATTTTGTCCTGAGTTGGCTGACTTGTTCTCCACCAGGATACTGTCAGGTCGGACGCCTGCTGCCACAGCAATGTCATGGAAGATGTCTGCTTCTGGACGGTCCCAAACACCTAGTATCAAAGAATTATGGTTACTTAAGAAGGACAGGAAAGACTTGAAATGTTTCTATCATACGTACCAACACTGAAGCAAGTAGTCTGACTCTGAGCTGATACAGAATTAAAAAATGTATTTATACAACATAGTGCTATATTGAGCCTAGAATATTTTGTCCAATTGCCTTGCTATGGGAAAGATATTTTGATTTGCTTGAATTTCTCACTTTTACATAATTCAGCAACTATAAAGTGTTGACGATTTAAAAAATTAAGCATTGCTTTTTGCGTGTTAGCTGTAATGTTTAACATTGAGGAAAATATCACGCCTTCTCCATGATGTTTTCTTACCTTGTGTGAGATTTCCGAGCCCCCCTGAGAAGACCAGCCATGGTGCCCATCCCTGGTGCCACAGTTCAACTGCATACTCCGCAACACGCCTGTCATGGCTCCCGAATACCAGAATTACATCACTCTGTGGTGGAGGACGAAATTCATTGGTGACTGCATGCAAGCTATACCTATATTTAAAACCAGGGCTCATCAATTATATGCAAATGAAGGTAATAAAAATCTGCATTCATGACCTTTAGGTTTGACCAACTTTTGTACTGAGCAAGGTCAAATGCTGTTCCTGACAATCATCATCATCATCATCTGGTCGAGTTGGTGTCTCGGACTTCCATGACCATCTCCCTCCACTTCTCTCGGTCCTCCATAGCTCGAGGGAGGTCAGCTACATCGCAGTGTGTATCGTCGCAGAGTTGTTGTATAAATGTTTTACAGGGTCTGCCTACCCTTGCATGTCCATGCTTTGGTGTCCATAGAAGTACATCACTGATGATTTCCCCTTTACTTCGCCATGCATGTCCAGCAAACCTGAGTCTCCTTTCTCTGATGACCTGAGATAGAGGTCGTAGGTCCCCGTATAACTGCTCCTTTGTGGGGTGTTCCTAGCCTCTACCAGGCTTGAGGGCACGGCTGGAATTATAGTAGAAATCGGCCCGAAATAGAGAGATAACACGCCGAGGGAGTTTAGCCATCCAGTTTACAGTTTG